CAGTTACCAGAGTGCTGATTGTGATACTGATCACTCCCTGGTGTGTAGTAGAGTAAAACTGCGAACAAAGAGATTGCATCACATGAAAAAGGAAGGAAGACCACGTATTGACATCAGCAAGACTCGTGATCAAAGAAAAGTGGAGGGATTTGCTCAAGCACTTCAGGAAACCCTTCGAGGCCCGACTGATGCAAATACACCTGAACGATGGAAACATTTCAAGAACACCGTATATAATACTACCCTGTCCACCTTTGGCAAGAAGACCAAAAAGACAGCAAACTGGTTCGAAGCCCATTCAGAGGAGTTGATGCCAGCCATTGAGGATGAGAGCTCTAGCAGTATACGAGCCTGTCCTAGTGAGTGCAACTTGCAGGCTCTTCGAGCTGCACGTAGCAAAGTCCAACAGGCTACCAGATGTTCTAATGATTATTGGCTTCAGCTCTGCTCTCAGAAACAGATAGTAGTGGACACAGGTAACATCAAGGGAATGTATGACAGCATCAAGCAGGTCTTATGTCCAGTACAGAAGAAATCTGCTCCTTTGAAGTCTGCTGCAGGTGTGATCATACAGGACCGAGCACAGCAGATGGAACACTGGGTGCAGCACTACTCTAAGCTATATTCCAGAGAGAATGTAGTAACCAAAGAGGCACTAAATAACATTGAGCGCCTGCCTGTCTTGGAAGACTTGGACAGTGAACCAACTTTAGCAGAAATAAAAGTGGCCTTGGATTCCCTCACCTCCGGCAAGACACCTGGGAAGGATAACATCCCTGCTGAAGTTCTGTAAAGAGATCATCATCACCGAGCTGTATGAAATCTTTTGTCTTTGCTGAAGGCAAGGTGGAGTACCACAGGACATGAAGGATGCAAACATCGTCACATTGTATAAGAACAAAGGAGATAGGTGACTGCAATAACTACCGTCCCATCTCTCTTTTCAGCGTTGTAGGGAAGCCGCTTGCATGTGTTGTGCTGAAGAGGCTCCAGGTGCTTGAAGACAGTCTATCCAGAATCACAGTTTGGATTTTAAGCTAATAGATCCACCACTGACATGGTATTCTCCTTCCGACAGCTGCAGGAGAAATGTAGGGAACAACAACAGCCACTCTTTGTGGCCTTCATAGATCTCACAAAGGCGTTTGATTTGGTTAGCAGGGACGGTTTTTTTAAAATACTTCCCAAGATTGGATGTCCACCTTGACTCCTTAACGCCATTGGGTCCTTTCATGAGGAAATGAAGGGCACTGTAGTTTTTGATGGCTCAACATCAGATCCCTTTGACATCTGAAGTGGAGTGAAACAGGGCTGTGTCCT